GCCTTCAAGAAGAAAATATCTAACAGAAGAGTTCCAATAGAAGACAAAACGGTTAGCCATGGAACTATGATGGAAGATGAAAATGAAGATCCTCTTACAACTCACTACTCCTGCCCTCTGGGATATATTAAACTTAATATTAACGGACAAGAAAGTCAAGCCCTTCTAGACACTGGATCTATGGTCAATCTTATTCCGGAACATTTAGCGCATCAACTAGGACTAGTAATTACTGAGAAACCTATGAATCTGAAAGGAATAGGGGGTCATCAAACCGGAATCTCTGGAATAGCTGAAGGAGTCGACGTCTTGATTGGAAAATTGACCAGACCTGTTCATTTCTGGGTAGCCAAAGGACCAGTTCAGTTTATTCTTGGAAAACCATTTCTCATAGACGTAGCGGCGAACATCAAGTACCATTCAGAAGGAGGAGAATCGTTAGCTATTCTAGATCCCAAAGGTCAAACTTATCTAATCCCTATTCTCACTCCAAAGCACCATAAATGGGAAACTACTCTACCTGCCAACGTGGTTACCCGGGATTTTTTAGTGGTAGCCCAGGATTTCAACTACACCAAGTAGATGAGGTTCTGGGAATGCAACATCAACTGGAATGTCTGGCAGCAAAATATAAATCAACTACAAAAAAAATCAAGCCAGTAAATCAGCCTATGCCACTCGCTCTTAATCCACCGCTTTCCAGACCACCATTATCCAGAGATCCTTATAACACTCCTTTAACTCCGAAGCCACCCTCATTTCAACCTACATCAAAAGTCACAGAAGAAAGATTAAAACTTATCAATTTTGGCCCCACTGGATGGTTGTCAGACGAAGAACTCAACTTATTTTATTATGTAATTACTCTTAGACAAGCAGCTCTAGCCTTCTGTGAAGCAGAAAGAGGACTTTTGAAACATTCTTACGGCAAACCCTACGTAATCCCTGTCATCAAGCATGAACCCTGGCAACTCCGACCTATCCCCATACCTGGCCCAATCAAAGATCAATTTACGGAACTGGTTCGAGAAAGATTGAAAACTGGACTCTACGAGCAATCCTTTTCTAGTTATTCAAGCCCTGTATTCTGTGTCAAAAAGCAGGATGGCAAGCTCAGAATTGTACATGATCTTCAGAAACTAAATCAAGTCACAATTAAAGACTCCGGCTTACCACCATCTCCAGAAGAATTAGTTCAATCATTTACGGGAAGAGCCTGCTACGGTTTAGGAGATATTATGGGTGGCTATGATGAAAGGGAATTAGCACCAGAATCCAGACCCCTTACCACATTCGAAACTCCACTAGGAAGATTCCAACTCACCAGATTACCACAGGGCGCCACAAATTCGGTAGCAGTTTACCAAGCTCAAATGATGTGGATCTTACAGGATGAAATACCTCAGAACATGGGAATCTTTATTGACGACGGTGGAATAAAAGGACCTATTTCAGATTACGACGGAGAAACTTTAGAAGCAAATCCCAAAATCAGAAGGTTTATTTTCGAATATGCTGTCACATTGGAAAGAATTCTTTTTAGAATAGAGGAAGCAGGGCTTACAATTTCTGCAAAGAAGTTTGCTTGTTGTGTTCCAGCTCTAGATCTAGTTGGCCATGTAGTCTGTAAAGAAGGAAGAAAAGTGTCCTATAAGAAGCTCAACAAAATCGAAACTTGGCCAGTTCCCAGGAACCCTACGGAGGTCAGAGGATTTATGGGACTTTGCGTTTATGTTAGAATGTTTGTTAAAAATTTTTCGACCATCACTGCACCTCTCAGGAAATTAACCAGAAAGACCTCAGACTGGGATTGGACTGAAGAATGTCAAGAAGCTTTCGAAACTTTGAAGAAAATTATCGGACGGGATATCACTCTAAAAAAACTGGATTATGGAGAACAAGCTGGAAAAATCAAGTTATCTGTGGACTCTAGTTTTATTGCAGCTGGAGCGGTGCTTACACAAGAAGACTCTCAGAATTTAGACAGACCGGTGCTCTATGAATCAGTAGTTTTCTCCCCAAAAGAGTCCGAATATTCTCAGTCCAAGTTAGAGCTCTGTGGTGTAACCAAAATCCTAAAAAAATTGCAAACAGTACTCTGGGGTCAACATTTTGAATTAAGAGTGGATGCGAAATGTTTGATAGGAATGATTAATAATCCATCTTTACCAAATGCTCCCATGAATCGTTGGATAGCCTTTATCAAATTATTTTCTTTCGACCTTGTTCATACGCCTGGAAAAACATTTACGATGCCAGATGGACTTTCTAGACGACCACCCGATCCTGACGAACAGAACAGCCCTAGTTTTGATGAAGATGAAAAATGGATCAAACCTCACCCAGGATTTGGAACTAAATCAGCTTTTTCAGTTCAGCTGCTGGGGACATCAGCACAGTTGGGGGAGGAGGTGTTAAAATTACAAGTTGGATTTTGGAAGAATCTGGAATATTACTTATCTACTATGAACAAAGCCCCAGGGATTAGTAAACTAGAACAAAAACAGATAATCCAGAAGTCAGAATTCTTTTTTATTTCCAACGGAATTTTACACAAGAAGAACCAACCTTTTTCCCAGATAGTGGTATCTGCCCCGGATGTACAGAGGAAAATTCTACGAGCACTTCACGAAAGCCTTGGTCACAGAGGAACTGAAGAAACTTACAGAAGAATTAAACTTAGATTCTGGTGGCCACATTTGAAGAAAACCATCAAGTCCTGGGTTCAGTCTTGCGAAGTTTGTCAGAAAAGAAGTTCAGTCCTACCACAAGAAGAAAGAAGAGCCACCGCAAAATCTACAATATTTGGAAGAGTTAGTCTAGACACAGTTCATATCAAGGCCGGGCGATGGAAATACTTGGTAGTTGCCAGGGATGATCTGTCTGGCTGGATTGAGGCTGTTGGTTTGGAAAAAATTCAGGCTAAAAAGATTGCGCAATGATTTCAAGAATCTTGTATATTTAGATATGGAGCCCCTTCACTAGTGGTAGTAGACGGTGGATCAGAATTCGGCAAACATTTCAGAAGCTCTTAAAGAATTGGGATTGAAGTCAAGACAACTACTCCTTACTACCTGAAGCTAATGGAATGGTAGAACAGAGGTCATCAAGCCCCTTAAAGACACCCTTGTAAAACTCTGTGGTACTGATGGAAAAAAATGGCGAAATTTTTACCCTTAGTACTGTTTGCAGACCGGGATCTCAACCAAGCGAACAACAAGGTTATTCTCCCTTTGAATTAGTATTTGGACAGTCACCAGTCTTACCAGTGGACTTGGAGTTTGAAACTTTTCTTGGAATCGATTGGCACAAGATATCGACGACACAGGAGCTATTAGAAGCCAGAGTTGCACAGCTAAAAGGAAGAGATCAGGTACTCCAGAAAGCCCATTTACAACTCCTGGGAACTAGACAAAACTCGGTAGACTACTGGAATGACAAGAAGAAAACAAGGAAACCCCTACAAAAAGGTGATCTGGTGTTAGCATACAATAAGAGCTTGGATTCTCAGTGGGGAAAGCTGTTTGAGAATCGGTGGAACGGACCTTATCGAATCCAACAGCAAGTCACCGGAGGTTCCTACTTGCTAGAGGAGCTAGATGGATCGGTTCTCACTAGAAGATTTGCAGCAACCCATGTTAAGCCCTTCTACACTCGACAGGGAGATCAAGAGGATAGAACTTACTGTGCTGGTCTTGGCATTCTTGGCATCCTTCGTGATGAAATGGTTTCACCTCAGATTGTTCCCTCGATACCGGCAAAAGGCAATGAATATTAGTCTGTAAACAAATAAAAAAAAAAAAAAAATAATAATAATAAAAACAAAAATAAAAATCAGTTTCAATTTTCAAAATCTTTTGGTTATAGTTATCTTTATTATCACTTACCATTTCAAAGTAGCGCTTGAGATCCTTGTACAACTTGATACGACCTCGGTGCTCCTCTTCGTCTCGAGGAACAAACGTGCGACAGAAGATTTGGATTCTTTCAAGGACCTCGGTTTCTAAACATTCGAACTCGGCTTGAGTAAAAGTATCGTGGCCATAGGTTGAAGCTCCATCCGGAGTGAGTAACATAGAAATAGCGAGATCTTCGCCAGTCAAACGTAATCCATTGTCAGACAAAGTGTCGGAGGGAATGGATATGGGAGAACGGGCGGTCATTTTTCTTTCTCTTCTTGGTTATTCGTTGAGGTTGTTTGTTTAAGATAGGGAAGATGGAGACGGAGTCAGTACCCAAAGACAGAGCTTTTAAGTACTCACGATAACCAGCCGATACCCCAGTCCTTACACCTTTGGGCGACGCCATCGTCTATGGCGAGTCTCGCCTTCTGCGATTTGATAGGATCTACTCGTTGAAGAACGAATAGATGTTATTTTCTTTCCTTTCTCTTTCTTTCCTTTTTCTTTTCTTGTTTTCTTTTTTCTTTTTTTTTCTTCTTAATAGCTTATTTCAACTCAGTCTCTTTAAAATAGTCATCAGTGCTGGACCGAGCTCGCTGATGTCCTTAAAAGCCGACGACCATTTCTTTCTTTTTTGATTAATCAGCCATATTCTCTTTATCCTCCTCAGTACTCCGTACACAATAATTTCAATCCATTCTGAATTGTTACAAGTTATATCTACCAAATTTGACCTAGTGTTGTTCCTTTCTTTTGTCATCATTCTCATGTTGAAATCAATTGCGACTTGAATCGATTCGACGAAGGCTTTTAACTACGTCAAGTGTTTCCTTTTCTTTTGATTTATCAGCGATACGCCTCTTAAACAACTTACTACTGAAACGAAGCGTCGAAGTCCCTGAACAGTCCTGTTTCCGATTATCGTTTGTCATTAAACTCAACACTCGTCATTAGCTGCCTTCAACTACGCCGAATAACTCTGGTTTATAGTTTATATCTTTAAACGCTGCCTGGGCCGTTCTACATCGGACCGATTCGTACCCATTGTTTCCGTTGTGTCAAGCGCGACTCCAATGGGCCGATAACCCTCTCTCGTTTTCAATCTTGGTCATCGATCATTTCTCTCCTGGTTAGAGTAGATTCATCATGCCAGTTTCTCGTCAATTTCTTCTTCCCCGAACTCGTCTTAGGATACACCGTCGCCGATAGCTTTTCAACTTCTTCAGTATATACTCTAAATCGGACCGATACGGCGAGGTCCTTAAACAATATCCGCATTCTTCTTGCGTTTCCCTTTTGTCCGATTTCTACCCCGACCGAATCTACATATTCAGCGGTTTCAGCTCCAACTTGATCATCTCTCAGAAACTGTTTTTTGTTAACATAGCAATCTAGCACCTCGATTCTATTAGATGTATGGATGCCCCTCTCCGCCGAATGCTTGTCACCCGAAAATCCAGATGACAGTTTCTTCAACATGTACACTCAGCAGGAATCAGAAACAGATTGAACAAACACAAACAATATGACAACATGCAGGTCTAGTTAGAAGCTACAGGTTGTGGAAAGAAGAAATTAACAAGAAGATCAGAAAATTCAGAATAAAGAAGGTTAAATTTTGAGAAGCATTTGAAGAAGAAAATTTTGAAATGGGAAATTTAAATAAAGAAATTACATAATTTAGTTAAAGGTAAAATTACAGAAAAATAAGAAGATTACAGAGGTTTTTTTTTTCAGAGGATTAAAAACAGATTAGATTTTTAGTCAGATGGCTAAAACAGATTAGAATCACTAAGATAGAAATAGAGAAAATTTTACCTTGATACTAAATTATGAGAAATTTCATTATCAGAAACTGCCCATTCAAGAATTCGACTGAAAATTCATCTCAAGGTTAAAATTCAAAATCTGAAGATTTGGGATTCAAGAAAATCAATTCTCAAGCAAACCTGAAACTCAATACTGGCCAATTGGACTCATGCTTTTTTCCTTTTGTTTCTCTGTCACAATTCTAATTTTCATAATTCTAATTGTTTTACATGATCATTACAAAAACTACATATATTTTTTTTATTTTATTTAGAGAGGTATTGTCTGGGGACAGACAAATAAAGTTGGGGGAGGTTGTGGTGAGACCAATCAAGGTCATATATAGTACAAAATAGCTATTTATAGTAGTTTTCATGTTATTACAACCAGATATGCACATGCTACATAACCCATTATCTTGTACCCAGTTCAGAAGGTTACAAAACAGTATTTCTTACATAGTTTGGTTACATAATATATAGTACTACATAGCTACAACATACTACATATCACACATCTCAAGATACAAATTAGTCTTCCCTCAGTAACTTCTTTCTATGATAATAATCTTTCAGTAAATGTTATTTATTTCATCTCAGATATCACTTATTCAGACTACATATACTGTTTCATCCCATACATCTGATTTCTCATCCAGATATTGTCATCTCATCTCACTCATCATCCACTTCTTTTCATACATCAATTACTTCATTCTACATTTATTTTATTCTACATTTATTTCATACTACAAGTATTTCATTCTTACATTCCATTTCAAAACTCAATACACATGGCTTATATCACCTACATTCTCATCATACATCTCATTTCAACTCATTACTCATTGCTTATATCACCTACATATATATTTCACCACACAGATTTCTCATCTCACCTCAGAATATGTATTTCAGTCTTTGATTATCTCATTTCTTTTTGCACTACATATTAGTTTTATCACAAACAGAAGTTACTTCAGATTTTCTCCTTTTCAACACATTTATTTCACACTACACATTTGTCAGCCACAATTATTTCATAACCAATTGTCTTTCAGATACAACTTATTTCATACCATCTTCTTACATCAGCTCATATCTTACCACTAGTACCTGATCAGAACCACCCACATGTATATAGAGAATACTCTTTCCCACTTACTTTGTTCCCGATGCTTGCATTAGAGAAGTAAACAGATAATTACTTAGCAGACATCACTTACTAGTAGTTACCAGAAGTAATTATTATTGATTTTCCCCCAGAAGATAAGAAATTGAACACAGAAACCATTACCCCCCAGAGCCTCATCCTTACCAGAATCCCCCACATCCTCAATCTCTCAGCAGGTGACTTGTACAAGACATCAGTAATAAACCTCATACTAAGATTACCCACAGAAATAGCCACACCTTTTCTTTAATTCTTAGTGTAACTCTCTCCCAAGCCTTGACAAGAGGGCAGCTTCATCAGCATCCAAGTCTTCAACTCACATTTCCCCTTGTGTAGTTGTTCTTTTCCCCTCTAAGCTCTTTTCTTTAGCTTGAAAAGTTCCACAGCGGAAAATTTTCTAGGAACTCACGCAATAACTAGGTCGGATGCGCAGAAAGGAAGACGAAGCGTCCGGATTCAGGAACCAACAGACAATGAACAGATGGATGTGGATCAAGAGGAAGAAGTGGCCGAGATCTCGCAGAACCCTCTGAAAAAGCCAGTTGAGAAGGTCTGGAGTAAAGACAGAATCCCAGCCATGAAAGCCAATGATACAAGCCCAGAGGAAATTCTGCTTCACGAACTAGATAACGTCAAAATTCCAACAACCTTTGCTCAACTCACGGCTATATCTCCAGCATACACATCCCAAATCATTTCAAAATTACAGAACAGACTTGAAAAAAGTAAAACAGCCTACGTAGCTACGGAATCAGCCAAGGTTTCTGCAATGGAACTCAATTCAGATCAAGAAGATACAGATCCTTGCTATTACAGTTGCGCTCTTGGTTACGTCACAGCAGAAATTGGAGGTTCATAAGTGGACTTTATGATTGATTCGGGCTCAATGGTCAATGTTATACCCAGCTCAGTTGCCCAAGATTTAGACCTGGAAGTGGTCAAAGTAGATATACCTATGAAAGGAGTCGGAGGAGCCAGATGTGATTTGAGCGGAGTAGCAGAAAACTGTACAGTAACAATTGGAAGATTCTCAGGACCGGCTCATATATTTTTCTCTCCAAAAGCACAGGACTGTATCCTTGGACGACCATTTCTTTTTGATTACAAGTGTAATTTGGAATATCATGAAAGGGGTGAAACTTTAATTTTTCAAGGAGCAAATGGAAGAAAAGTATCAGTACCACTTGCAAAAACAGGAAAAGGTAGAGGTTGGAATAACATGAAAGATCTCAGCACTAACAGTATGAAGCCTTTTTTACAGGAGCAAAAATCCGGAAAAATTTCAAAAACAGAATCAGCCCAGCCTTTTTTCTGATTCCCGGTGTTCACTTAAGGAATTACTCACTAAAGCTAGTCAAGCAAGTTGCATTCCGAACGCCGGGTCTTCTAGACTGGCTTAAAAATATTTTCTTTGTTTTTTTTCAGAAGCTTACAAAGAAGACAAAAATTGTTTTCATGAAGGTAATGTTGTGTAGAAAGAATTTTTTAATCAGTTTTATTTCACTTTTAAAAATTTTCAAAAGAGGTACAGCTAAATTCAAAGAATCAAGAAAAACAGCGCAAGACTTACCAAAACATTCACACAATTTACCTGGACCAGATGTCAACAAACAAGAAGTAGAATTTGCTGCACCAGAAAAGGAAGTGGAAGATGCTGAAAAAACTACAGAAACTGATGATGAAGAAAATTTGGATAATTTTTTTCAACAGGAAGAAACAGATCAGTCCAACTCCAAAAAGACCAGCAATAATAGTTCAAACTTTCAAGAGTTTCACCTTAGTAAAATTTCTCCAGAAAATTCCAAATTTCCTTTAAATCCAAAAGACAAAGAGGTTCAAGAGATCAACAAGCTTAATAACAAGATTTTCAACAAACACCTGTTTAAAACTCATTCAAATCTTCACAGAAAAATTCAAAACAGTTACTGCACTCCTCTTGAAAACTCAGATCTCAAGAATTTGGGCTATGTGGAAAAGGAAGGAGAGGGATGGGATAATTCTTCTATTTTTGATTCAAGTTCTATCACATATTTTCAGCCACTCAGTTCAATTATCTTGACCCAAGCTCTTCCAGATCAAAATTTCCCTACTTCAGAAGATCAATTCATATTTTACCAGAATCAGTTCCACCAGATATAGATAGAAACAAGTACATCTGGGAACATAACAGATAGAATATAACTAACATCAATAATATAAAAAAAAAAAAAAAAAAAAAAACCTGCATAAATCATAAAAATACCAAAAACATATCAGTTACATACTAATGTTTGTTAAGTTGGGGGAGGAGATTCATCTCTTATGAACTCAACCGTAAAATCAAGTTTTCTTTTTTTTTTTTCTTCTTCTCTTAGGAATGGTTGAGGACAACCATTTAAGTTGGGGGAGGGGTTTTCTTGGTCTGTTTATTATCAAATTATCAAATTTATTTATTTTTTACTCTGCAACTCTTATATCAGGATTTTCTAGATAAAGCCTAGTACTACGCCCAGGGCCCGCAGGGCCCTGGGCGTCGCGCCTTATACCAGATTCTGGCAGGGAGGCACAATGGTATAAGCATTGGACGTTGGGATATCATCAAGGGAAATTTATAACAACCCTCCTGGTATAACAACACCAGGGAATGGTATAAGTCACAGCCGGCACCAGTACCTTATATTCAACAGAGACTGCCATGCCCTCAAGCTTTGGTATAACATGTGGCACACCCCACCAGGCAAACACCATGTTCAAATGAGATATTGTATACCATTCATACAACTTCAACCTTTAATCATTTGTAAAAAAATACACAATATTGCCTAGTCCACTTGGTGTCCCTCATCTCATTGAAACTAACCCCCTTCTTTACGTGACATCAACTTGGTGATTAGTAGTTGTCTTTCCTTATCACAGCCCATGACTATGACGGTCCCGTTCAGGCTTCCCTCTCACAAAAAAAAGTGTAGCTCTATTCCCACCTGTCCTTTCTAAAGTTGGTGTTACCTCATGATTGGGGTTTACCTTATTGTTGCCCCGTCTCCCCATTGGAACACTTGGATACTATCAATGGAAATTTCAATCATCCCGCCTGCTATAGTTTCACAAGTGAATGGTAAAAGTCGCAGCAGACAACAGTAGCTTGTACTCAAAAGAAATCATCCCGCAGTAAAGATTTGGTATAATTTGGCATACCCCACCAGACAAACATCATGTTTGCAAGAGATTTTGTGTATCATTTATTTAATTTTAGTATTCAAAAATTTGTTGAACACACAACACTGCCTAGTCCACTTGCAGTGACTCATCTCATTGAAATCACTTGAAGTCACTCATTTCATTGAAATTTAAACCACATATACAAGCGAGATGACCCCAGTGATTAGTTGTCTTTCCTTATTACACTTCATTAATTCCAAGCGCTCTATTGATGTTGAACTCTCCCAGAAAACAGTACTGCTCTATTCATACTTGTGCTTTCCAATTTTGGAGATATCACAACATTGGGCTTTTCCTTC